CTTAGGAGATACTATTGAGAATGTATTCATCTATTTGTGTTGCCTTGGGTCTGACATGTCTATGAATGAAGAAAGAATTATTTTATTGCCTTTTAACTGTTTTCCATATGACATTATAGGGGTATGTTTAGGGTTTTGATATTTTGAAAATACCAGCCACACTGTTAGTATGGTCTAAAGATTTTTTTTTAAATAGATTTATTTATTTAATGTGTATGAGTGATCTCTCTGCATGCACACCTGCATGCCGGAAGAGGGCATCAGATCTCAGTGCGGATGGTTGTGAGTGGCCGTGTGCTTGCTAAGAATTGAACTCAGGACCTCTGGAAGAGCTGACAGTGCTCTTAACCACTGAGCCATCTCTCCAGCCCTTTGGTCTAAAGATTTTTGCAGAAATATTTCATATAGGCTTGTTTCGTTTTGAGACAGGGTCTTGTGTATCCCAGGCTAGCCATGAACCCATGTTAAAAGATCTTGAACTCCTGATTCTCCTGCCTGTACTCTCTAAGTGCTGAAATTATAGGTGTGTGTTTCCATGCCAACCTAAGGCGGTACTGGGGATTGAACTCAGAGCTTCATGCATGCCCTCTACCAATCTGCCCATGTCACCAGTATATTTCTTTCCTTTTTGAGTCATGATCTCACTGTACATGTAGTGTATAGGAGGATCTGAAATACACAGAGATTTTAGCCCAGGTCCTCCGATTTGTTGTGTCTGCGCTGCTCCTCAGTGGTTCTGGTGTCCTAGGCTACACAGGGTTGCTAAGATAATGCATGTCCAAGGCTTTGTCAGCCTTTTCTGTGTATGAGAATATAGTAAGATTAACAAAAGTAAATAGGTCTGTATAGATAGCTCAGCTGTTGAAGGCTAGGCTCAAAACCAGAAGACAAGAAAAGTAAGTACTAAAAGAGAAAGAGACTACAGTGACAACTCTCTTATGCTGTGTGTGCGCGCGTGCTGTTTCAGGACAAGGATTGCAAAGTGCACCACCACCGCTGCATTTTGATGTGGGTTCTAGGGATGGAACTCAGGTTGTTATGCTGAACAGCAGGCACTCTGCTGACTGAGCATTTCCCCAGACCTCAATTTCATTTAATAGAAATTTAAATACTTTTAATGTTGGCGTTACCTTCTGTTAACGGACCATGGCCATTTGTAAAAAAAAATAATAATAATAATATAATACAGTGACCTTTACAATAAGCAATGTTCTTCTATCAGAAGGTTCTTTGTAGGGCAGGAGAGATGCTTAGAACCTAAGAGTGCATACTGCTCTACAGATGACTGCAGTTTTAGTGTCCATCACCCACATTAGACAGTTGACAACCGCTGATAACACCAAGTAGAGGAGAACCAGGGTTTCTGGCCTCCAGGCACCTGCAGTCAGGCATATGTGCACGCACACATAATCATAATCAAAAATAATAAAAATAAGTCTAAAAGTTTTCTGTATGGTTCCATTGTAGGTTGTTTATTAAGTCTCATAGAATTCAAGTTATGTAATGGCCAAGTATAGCATCTATGAGCGAAATAATATAGAATCCTGTCATTTAAGGATCTGACCTCCCATCTCTTGAATATTTTGGAATTCTATTAACTCGCGCAGTTTTGTTGAAATAGGCGTGAATGTTATATGCTGTCGGGGAAGTCTGGCGAATAGTCATATCACCGCATGGACGGCAAGTTTACCTCAGCCTTGGTTCTGCATTCTTATTTGCTACTCAGTGAAACAATTTGTGCACATGCGTACATATTTTTTGGTTTTGTGTGTGCATGTGTGAAGGAATTACTCCAAGGAGAAAACACCATAGGCAGAGAGAAAATGTTTCCAAAACACATATTTGGTAAAAAGTGTGTTTATTGCTATAACCACACAACCAGGCAGATAAAACTTAAAGGGAATAAAAGACCTAGTTTGGCTAATGATTTCAGAGATATCAGCTTATTGTAACAAGAAGGACATGGCGATAGTCCAGTAGGCCTCAGACAGCACTGCTCAGCAGTGGAAACCTGACAAGTATATTGAAGAAATTCTAGGGACTGTCAGTAAGCACAGGCTTTGAACTATGCAGTGTTTGGCAGTTGGTGGCTGTTGTTTCATTCTGTGTTTATCATTCCATTCATGGGGTATTTCAAGGTTCCCTGTTACAGCTAATTTGTCTAGGTGACCCAATTATTTACAATATTTAAATAGATGGCAAAACAGAATCACTTGGTTAGCTAAAGATGACCCTACACTTCCGATCTTCCTGCCTCTACTTCCAAGAACTAGGTTTATAGGTCCTACAACTGGTTAACAGTTAGGAGCTATTATACACAGCTCATTTTTCCTTTATTTTGAGCTTGTTAGTTTAGTAGTGAAATCAATCAAACCTATTTTCATTTGGCACATGGCTTTTTTTTTTTTTTCTTCTTCTTCTTCTTCTCAAGGCAGGGTTTCTCTGTGTAACCCTGGCTGTCCTGGAACTCACCAGGCCGGCTTCAGACTCAGAGATCCAACTGTGTCTGCCTCCTGAGTGCTGGGATTAAATGTGTGTGTCATTACCACCCAGCTGGTACATGACTTTACTAAACAGAACAGTTCAAATGGAGGTACTTTGTCATAATGAGCTATTATAAGATTATGATTATAAAAATGTGTGTGAATGTCCTTCTGTGGAAAACTTACAACCTGATTGATATTTTTTTGATGCAAGAAATCTCTGTTACTTGTTTATTTGTTCATTAATTAAGCATTTAATGAGTATCTCCTGTGTGCTAGGTACTATACCAGACTCTGGGGAATCAAAGATGCATCAGACTCAGTCTCTACCCTGGGGCTCCTGCTGCTTAGAGGAGTAGTAAACAAATAAGTGTGCTACCCTCTGAGAGAGTGTATTTTCAAAAGTCCTAAATGAGAGTTAATGTGAAAACCCTTCTTTCTCTGTAGCACAGTGGTTCTCACCTTCCTAACGCTGTGATCTCTTAATGCACTTCCTCATTTTGTGGTGACTCCCACCCATAAAGTTATTTTTGTTGCTATTTCAAACTACTTTTGCTACTGTTATGAATGATAATATAAATATTATCATGCAGACAGTCTTAGGCAATCCCTGTGAAAAGGGTGTTTGACCACCAGGAGTCAGGACCGACCCACAGACTGGGAACCGCTGCTGTAGCACAGTATCTGAAATACATTAAATAGTTTATTAATGAATTGATATGAGGGCATAATGTTATAATGTGAAGAGAAATTCGTTTTTCCTGTATACTCAGTTGCATCTGTGAATGCTTCATAAGGATACAGATTTTAAGTTAGACTTTGAGCTATGTGGTAGTGTCTGTGAAGAATTATGAGGGGCTGGAGAGAGAGCTGCATGACGCAGAGCTCTCACTTTCCAGAGGACTGTCTTCAGCTCCCCGCTCCAGAGACTGACAGCTCTGGTGGCCTCCACGGGACCTGTGCACACTCAGCACACACACAGAGTTTTAAGTCATCACAGCAAAAGGAGATGGTGCACTACAGAGCAGCCAAGAAGCATTAAAGTGCCTTGATCAGGGGAGGACACACCCATAGGCTCATGCACTTGCAGGCAGCTTTTGTTTAGGGTATTTCTGTAAGCTTTATGGCATGAGAGGTCCGTGAGAAGGGTTCAGACAGCCACATGATTGAACCCTGACCATACATAGGTTAGGTGGAAGAAAACAAATTCTGGCTAGCTCTTACTCGATATGTAAGAGGATTCAAAAACAGTCAGAAAGTGCTTTCTCACTCTTTTATAGAATGTTGTGATTCATCTGATTTCCAAGGTTTCTAGTCCTGTTTGCTTCTTGTGGGTTTTTGTTTGTTGGCGACAAGGTCTCGTGTATGCCAAGTGAGCCTTGAACTCCTTGTATAGCTGAGGGTACCCTTACGCTTCTGATCCTCCTGCCTCTGCATCCAGGTGTTGGGGTTCCAGGCATGGCCACTGCACCCAGTTTACACACCCTACCAACTGAGCTGCCTCCCCAGCCGTCCAGTGCTGTAAAAGCATCATGTAACAGCGAGCAAAGGGAAGCTGAAGCATCCCACTTCTGTTATAGTTAGACACACCCATTGACTCTAAAGTCTTTATTTTACCTACCAAAATGTTTGCTCAAAATACTTAGAAGTAAGCCAGGTGCAGGGGTGCACGCCTGTGATCCCAGCACTCAGGAGGCAGGGGCAGGCAGATCACCGAGTTCTAGACTAGCCTGGTCTGTGTAATGAGTTCCAGGACATCTGGCTTTTACTCACTGTCTTTGTTACTTTTTAAACTCTTAATTGTAAATACTTATTTCTGTGCTACCCCATGGCTTGCACCCACCAGATAAATGCCAATGTCTGGAAATGTTTTTCCTTGCTCTGGTGTTAAAAGATGCCTCTTACCAAGCTCTTCTCCCCAGAAACAGCCGTTTCTTCCATGGCATGAGGTGTTGGATGTGTGCAGGCTGCAGATCAAAAGTGCATAGTTTTTGTCTTTGTTCACATTCTTGGGTTCTAAAGTTTTAGGAGCTGGGATCTGGCTTAGTTTTTTGGTTGTTCTTTGTTGTTGTTGTCGTTGTTGTTTGTTTTTAGGGAAGGCACCCTGAGGCTTGAAAACTACTACTCAGAGACATCAAAACGACTTTTGTCACCTTGTCTCAACAAGTTGATTGTAATTCTTACTATCTTTTGAGTGGATAACGGTAACAGCTCTGAGTGAGCTAGACTAAACTTTCACTTCTTGATGCTATTATTAAAACTAGCCAGACTTTAATCATAAGGAGTCAGTCTCTTTCTCTCTGTGTATGTGAGAGAGAGAGAGGACGTAAGCTGATGAAAGCAGAATGTAAGTTATTTCACATGTGTCTGAATTAATTTCAGAGTTCAGGATTTTTCTCTAGATGCTCTAAAAAAATTCAATTATTCCAAATACAGAAATGGCTGTGAAGTTTATACACTTAGACAAATAAATGCCTTTAAATATGTTTAATAATTCAAAATTTTTAATTTTTTCAGCTCTGATCGTCTCATAGAAGAAACAATAAGGTAGGAACAGTTTTTGTTTTGCTTCTTTGCTATTTGCACACTTAATGATCAGATCAAGCCAACACTGTTTGCTAGAGAAGGTCGAGTCGTCCTTCTTAAGAAACTGGCATTTACTAGATGGTAATGTGTTTCTGTGGCCTTTAGGTTCATGAGCTAGACATTGAGCCGTTCATATCCTCTCCACATCAAAGAAGAAATGAAAGAATTTGCCCGTGGTCACATGACTAATAACTAACACTGAGCACACTGATTACTAAATTGGTTTGTCTTCTAACACTGGAGCCAGAGCAATTGTACTGAACCAGTGCTGAAGCGGTGAGATGGCTCAAAGGATTTGTCTGCACCAGATCTGACCCCCCAGATCCACAGGACCTACACTGTGGGAAGAGAGAACCAACCCTGACAACCGTCCTCTGACTTCTGCATGTGCATTGAGCCATACAGAGGTGCACACATAAGCATGCACACACGGACACGAGCACACACGCACGCACGCACACAAATGCACTCGCTCGTACATACAAGCTGAATTATCTTTTTAAGTAGGTAATTATGTTTAGTTCATAACAGTGGTAAGAAATCTGAAGTTCCAGTAAGTATATCAATGATTTATTGTTTTTAAAAGCATTATATAGTATATGAAACTTATGTTTTATCTCTTAAGTATTTGAAACTTGAAATAATAGCTTACATTTCACTCAGCTCAACTCCGAATGATGGGATGAGATAGGAGAGTATGTCTAGATAGACTCTGTGTGGTACTGAAAACCATGCATATACAACAAGGTGATAGCTTAATATAATATTCATTCTCCAAGGAATACAAAGTGCTTTGAGGAAATAATTTTTTAATGCCTATCCACTTGTGAGTCCGAGTGCACCTGAGATAATGATGGTACTGGTTTAAACAGAAGTCTGTATGGTTGGTTCAGAGATTGTCTTTAGTGCAGGTTTGAATTATTACTTTCTGTAAGACCATAAACCTATTATAACGTATTCAAGGCTTTTGTTGTAATGTCAAGCAGAATTTGATCAATTTCTATTTCTTCTGCTGCTTTCAAAGGATCCTTTGAACAAGATGTAATGACACAAGCCTGTAATCCCAGCAGAGGCCTCAGCTCCTAAGTGATAGCCTGGATTCTAGGATCTTCATGACACAGTCTGGAGCTGTGTCACGAAGGAACTGACATTTACAAGACCACCAGTCTGCATGTGCTGCAGCAGCATAGAACCTGCTCAGCCTTCCTTGGCCAGAGCCCCACAGCTAGCTTTCTGGTCCTTCTTGCCATCATCGTAAAAGACAGCCTCATTCTTGTTCCTCTGCTTCCTTTTATGTATTGCCTGTCTTGTGTTAATTTCCTTTATCTTCAGTGACCATTTCCTGACCAGCTCTTTGAACAGCTTCTCCTTGGTTTTTCTAAGCGGCCTGTGCCAGACTGAATTCATCTTATGTTTTTCTGCTTATCATTGGCTCTGTGGGGTGCTCTGATATTCTTGTTGCCTTTCTTTTTTTTAATTCCAAAATGCTTCCATACATATTCTTGTATGTATCTCCTTACATACTTTTGTCTTCTCAGTTGTGAAATTAAGTTCTGATTAATTTGTCATCCCTCTGACATCTCTTCAGTAAAACACCTGGTAGTTTGTTCTGTGAGGCTCTGCCCATGAGAGGCTAGCAGCTTACTGCCAATGGATGGCCTAGTGAACTGCCCCGCCCAGGAGCTGAGCATCTCACCAGTAGCCAGCCTGGAAGCCCTCAGTCTCCAAGCCATTCTGCAAGCACAAGAGCCAAGGCAAACTGAGCCCCTTACTGCGCCCTGGACTCGCAGGTCCCCAGGCCCCTGCTGTCTTGTGGGTCTCTCCTTGAGAAGGTACCCATAGGCTCTAACTTGCGGCTGTCTGGCCTAGAGCTCTCAAGGGAACCAAAGATTAAGACAGTCCTTTCCCCAGTGTGAGGACAGCCTTGGCTGTCCTGGACTCGCTTTGTAGACCAGGCTGGTCTTGAACTCACAGAGATCAGCCTGCCTCGGCCTTCCGGAGTAATGGGACTACAGGGGTGCAACACTAAACCCAGCTTATATGACTCTTTTTAAAATAATTTTTAGATTGTCTCTTATTCTTTGACTATTTCAAACGTGTACAATGATTCTTAATCATGTCTACCAAAATCCCTCTTTTCATTTTTTTATTACTATCTAAAGCACTCCTAATGTGTTGCTGTAACAGTGGACACTGACCCTCTTCTCTAGGATTCTAACATCCGGGGCAATAAAACTTGAAAATATATGATCATGGAGGTGATAGCAAAGGTGATAACTCATATTCTCAACAGGCCATCAGTGTTGTCATATGAAGAGGCTACATTTTATAAAAGAGCAGCTTTTCCCCTCTCAGCGTTTTCAGTGAACCCCGAGGTCTGCCTGGTGACTCTCATGTGATTTTGAAACCTCATTTGTGTGTTTAGAGCTGGTTGAGCAGGGCTGTACACTTGGGCTCTGTTTTTATGCTTGTGATTTTTTTTTAATGGTTGTAATTCTTTGCTTTCCTCTTACTGATTAAAATTATTTTAGTAGTTGGTCCTTTTTTAAAGCCATTGAAGAAGCTTTGCAATCTATGATTTGTCTCAATGTTGCATTTCCCTTGTTACTTTGAAGAAAACTCAAGATAACTCCTAACAAGGCTTCATTGGGTTAAGTCAGAAAAAGATAATTCCAGGATTGGTTGCTCACAGGAGTTTTGTTTGCTTTTAGAGGTGTGAAGACTTGAGCAACGTAGTTCTCCAGTGCCAACTCAACTGTTTCTTTTTTCTCCTCTTGAAGCATTGCTATGGCAACAAAAGAAAATATGACTTCACAGAGAGGAATGCTCAAGTCAATTCACAGCAAAATGAACACTTTGGCCAGTATCCTCTTTGAACTGTGTTGCTGAGGTGAAGGGTTTGTTCTGTTTTGTTTTCTGTTTTATGGGATAGGGTTTAGGTCACCATCATTGGCAGCAGTAGGGCCGCTAAGCAATCTCATCATGTGAGGACTTCCTGAACTCATGTTTAACACCACTTCTAGAGGACAGCACACCAGAGAGTTAATTAGATTTAGATGTGTAAAATTGCTCACAAAATTATTTTGTCCTTGAAAGCTCTGGCTCCGTGTTAGTACTCCCTCCTGTGTTGTTCTCAACCACGCCCACACTGTGCTTGAATTTGCCGCTTGGGAGGACAGGCCAGTTACAGGTTCCTGGAAGGTCGCTGCAGGGGTGCTGTACCTGCTGGTGGACTGTGGTGACTGACACCCAGGTCAGAGTAGTCTCCCTGTTAGTGTGACCTCTACTTCTTTCGTTTTTAGCTTCTCAGCTTGAAATAGGATTGCATCAGAGATGCTCGGATGACTGTGAGGAAAGACTCAGGATTTTCAAAAGCTGAGTATCATCTGGCCCACAGTAATTTAAGGGCTCTTGCCTCCTGATTTCTGTTTGCCTGAGAAAACGGATATCCCTGGCATTTTATTAGTCAAGTGTAAAAACTACACATCCCAAACCACTCATAGCTCACACAGTGCTGTACAGTTTTTACAGCATAATTCTATTCATAGCTCATTCTGCATGCCCATAAAAGGGAGAAGGCAGGAACTTTATTTTGCAGATAAAAAAAAACCAGGCTCAGAAAAGTGGCCTGGCCCAGATCTACTGGAAGTATGTCTTATATAAATTGAAGATTCATATTTTAAATTCCCATGATTTTTTTCCTTTGTGTGCATTGCATGTTTCCATGGCACACATGTCAAGGTCAGAGGACAACCTCAGATGCTGGCCGTCATCTTCCACCTAGTTTGAGACAGGATTTCTGTTGTTGTCCCATTACTTACACCAGGCTAGCGGCTGGCCCTTAAGCCTGTCTCTGCCTTCCATCTACCCACAGGAGCACCAGGGTTTCAGATGCTTGCACTATACATTGGCACTCTATGTGAGTTCTGGAGACTCGGTTCCATGTGCTTTTATAGTAAGCACTTTCGCCCACTGAACATCTCCCCAGACCCAGTACATTCTCCATCAAGTCAAATCATACCCACCCCCCCAACCCCCATCCCTAGTGATACCTCTTTGTCGCCCAGTGTGAGTTTGAATCTCCAGTACTCACATACAGGTCAATACGGAGTGAGTCATTCCTGGGGCGGTACAACACACTCATCTGCTCACTCCTACAGGGAGACCATGACAGACCAAAGTGCAGACACCACTAAAGTGCCCCTTGGGAACCAGTGAGCTTTGCTGTGGTTACTTACAGGAGCAGAAATGACTCAGACAAGCTGCATCACCGAGGCTCACCCAGGAGGAGTGACCGCCCACGAAAGCTAGGGAACCTGCAGCATGCTGCACAACCAGCAGGCAGCTCGGCTGGGTGACTGTTCCTGTCAAGTGACTGGTCTAAACCTCTTGTAGGTTACTGGTTTGGTTTCAAGAAGGTCTTTGCCACTGGTTTATTTGAGTCTCTGCATGTTAGTTATACAGGGAGGGCCCGAAGGGATCTGGTCAGTTTCAGGGACTTCCTGAGGCTGTTTTGAGTTGTTTACCTCCCACATAAGGAGCTTCCCTGCAGACTGGAGTGTTTCAATCTCAGAGGAGACTGTTAAACAGCACTCAGGCTAGTAAGAAGTCCTAGACTCGGGTTCTCAGGTAATCCTCCGGTCTCAGCCTCAAAGGAAGCTGGTGTATATTTATTATAAACTATAAGCTTGGTCACCAGCAAGAGCAGAGGCAACTTAGTGAATACAAAAGTGTACTTTGCGTAAGTCATAGAACTAATAAGAAATAAAATAGAAGCCAGGTGCGGTAGCACGTTCCTTTTTAATCCCAGAGGCAGAGGCAGGCAGATCTCTTGAGTTTCGAGGCCAGCCTGGTCTACAAGCAAGTTCCAGACCAGCCAGGGCTGCAAAGTAAAACCCTTTCTCAAAAATAAAAGAGAAATAGCACTGGAGAGTGGGATTATTTTACATACTGGTTAAAACCAAATTGTCCACTCAAATTTGTTCCCACTATGTTTCGTGCATGTGTCCCCTAAACTCCAAGTCTTCTTAAAGGAGCAGTTTTCCCAAGTCAAGCACAGTGCCTGCTGCAGACGAGCACGCATCATTCCAAAAGAACGTGTGCTCAGGGCCTAAAAGATGGCTGCAGTGGTAGAGCGCCTGGCGTCCAAATGTTCAGACCTGGGTCTTATATCAGTGTGACTGTCAGCAGGACTGCTGTTTCCCAGGGTCTCCTTCCTCTCCTCGCAGGTCTTTTCTGTGTGTGTGTGTGTGTGTGTGTGTGTGTGTTCGCATGTGTGTGCGTGTGCAGGTGTGTGTGAGCATGATGAACACAGAAGCCAAGAAGAGAGTGTAGGATTTAAGGTAAACTGCCCAGTGTGGGTTGTGGAAACAGAGCCTGAGTCTTCTGGCAGAGCAGCAAACACTCTTAACCTCTGAGCTGTGAGAGGAAAAGTAGGGCCAGGACCCCAAGACCAAGTTCTTAGAACAAAGGAGATGCATTTGTCCCAGAGACAGGCAGGAAGTAAGAGAAAGATGGGAGACAGAAGATGAGGGAGAAGGGGAGGGAAACAGCAGCGGGGTAGGGATACTTGTCCCGGGGACAAAGGACTGTGTCTGGATAGGAGACAGACGTGGCCCACAGGAAAGAGGCAGTTTATAAAGGTACAAGGCAAACCCGGGTTAGGATGAGGTGTTCAATTTTAATTAGGTGAGCCAAAGGGGGCTTTTGCAGGACCTAAATACCTCGATAGCTAGATCTTGGTAGTCAGTCTCAGGAGGAGGACGTGGCCAGATGAAGGAGTAGACCTTGGTGGCCAGCTTCAGGGAAGTATTCTAACAGTTTTTAGCAAGGCAGAGGGAATGTGAAGAAGGGTGAGGCCTGCCAGAGCCGTGCTGGCCACGCTCAAGCTAGCAGAGTCCCTTTGGCTATCTCTAGCCCCTCGTGCTAACATTTTATGCCACCAAAGGGTTTGTTTATTCCTGCACTGGACAAGGAAAAGTGAAGGATTGTTTCTGTGGGCAGTTTTTTACTTTGTAAAAGGCTTGTCGCTTTGATACGCATGTCCTGATCCTGACTTTAAAAACTGTTTCTCTGTCAGTTATCCTTTTTTTTTCTCCATTCATAAATATACTGATGCCAGTAGTATGTATTCATATATTCTAGATATTGAAGAAATTCTAGAGTCATGATCATCCAATTTGTAAGATATGTACTGTCGGGCTGGAGAGATGGCCCAGAGGTTGAGAAGAACACTGTCTGCTCTCCCAGGGGTCTTGAGTTCAATTCCCAGTAACCACATGATGGTTCACAACCATCTATAGTGAGATCTGGTGCCTTCTTCTGGCCTGCAGGTGTACATGCAAACATAACATTGTATATGTAATAAATCTTAAAAAAAAAAAAAAAAGATATGTACTATCTGTGAATACACAAGCAGACGTAAGAGTCACAGAGAGGAACAACTGACATTTCTCAAGGAGGGTGTGGTCATTGCTCCTTTTGAACTTGATGTGATGTCTTTATCAACAAAGGCCATTTTTCCAGCAGTGTGGAACAGTGCGACTGTGGTCTACGCCTACAGTGAGTGTGCTCATGACTCCACATATAACTAAGATGTGGTAGAATGTTACCAAAGTCAAATTTGAAACTTCCTAATTCCCCCTTTTTGTTTGTTTGTTTGTTTGTTTGTTTGTTTTGAGACAGCCTTCGATGTCCTGGAACTGTATAGTACAGGCTGGCCTCAAACTCAGTGAGCCTCCATGAGCCACCTCCACCTGGCAGTTACCCCCCCCCTTTTTTTCCTAGTCCTGGCCTCACTGTGTAGATCAGGCTGGATTTGAACTTACAAAGATCCGCCTGCCTCAGTTTCCTTGAGTGCTATAATTACAGGCGTGAGCCACCGTGCCCAGCTCTCTCTCAATCTCTCTCGCTCTCTTTCTCATAATAGAGCAACTATAACATTTAGCCCATTTTCCTGCTACAGTAAATCTAAAATTGTTAATTATTCATTAGGACCCAGTTGCATGAGTCCAAGGGTTCCTTTCTAGGGTGCAGAGAATCAGGTTTTCTTTAGCACTCCTGTCTCTGAGGGGGGGGGGCAATGGACAGGAAAGGGAAAGGAGCAAGTAGGTGAGTGCTAGGCCACCCCGCCCCGCAAACCCACCCATGCTGAAACCCAGAAGCCCCGGTGGACTCCAGCAGCCATCTTTATTTTCTCCACTGATTTTCTTCCATTGTTCTTGTGCACTTTACACGGACTGGGTGGATTGAGTATGGGAGAGTGTGTTGCTCTTCTCTTCCCACACTGTCTGATCATTTGCTGTTTGTAACTGCTGTCACTGATGGCTGTTTGTCATTGCTGTGACTTTTCTAAAGAGGCTTCTCACAAGTGTGACCTTAACCAAGGTTCCCAAAGACCGCTTTCCTGCTGTGAACAGCCTGATACAAAGGATCAACCTTAGGAAACGACGAGACTCGCTCATCCTTGGAGGTGTCATTGGCATCTGTACCATCCTGTTGCTGCTGTATGCGTTCCACTGAGAGGATGCTCCCAGGACTCTGCCCACCACCTTCAAGCCCTGACCTGGAGTGGGGAATGTAGGAAGGAAAGCTTGTCCTGGCCGTGAGCCCGCCAGCCAGATGAATTCTCAACTGCACCCATGGCTCTGACCTGGTCGGACTGAGCTGAAGCCACAGTTTTTCTCTGCTGTCTTTTCTAATACACATTACTCTGTTTTTAATTTTGAAAACAACAACAACAAAAGGTTTCAGTTGCTTGTTTCTCTCTAGGAGGTAAGCAAGCAGAAGCCAAACCTGGGCTTCGGTGACTGGGGAAGCCTGATGACCAGCAGGCCTCAAAGCTGGACTCCTCACAGCACCAGGCTCTCCACATCCAAAGATGGCATTGCTTTCAGCCACGAGATTGGATGTAAATAAAAATAATTCTTGTCCTTTTATTTAACATTTGTGATGAGAAATCAGCTGTGACTTGGATTCTATTCTGTGTCCCTAACTCTTGGCAGTCAAGAAAAGTTCCATTTCCCACCGAATCTGTAAGAGTTGATAGGCCAGCTTCATGTTGAGGTCTGAAATGGAAAGCACTGAGAAAGGGTGTCTTCTCTCTTCAGCCCTGAGCATGGGTCAGCTGTACAACTGAATACATCAGAATGGCAGGCCTTGTAAAAGGAGCTGGTCGTTGCTTTATTATTTCTTCCATTGGGTTAATATTTGCTTCTACATGATAAAACTGCATTTCAGTGACAAACAGCCAGTGTCTGTCATTGCCCTAGTGGTCCCTCACCATGTGAAGATTAACCCCAGGACCTGAGGGAGGGACCGAGCTTGATGGCACTGGAACCCTGCCCTGTGCACATCTATTCATTCCTCCTCTGTTAGGCCCCTCCCTACTCGCAGGCCATGCCACGGTGTCACCATTGAGGTATATTGTGCCCGCCTCCTACCTACACCTGACTGCTACCTGGACAGTGACAGAGTTGTAATGCTTTTCAGGTTAGCTGTATCTCAGCATCGGTAAATTGGTAACGTCTTACTGCACCAGCGGATATTTTAAAGACCTCCAGTGTGTGCTTACGGAGAGAGAAGGCTCTGGCCCCACCGGGATGTCCTCAGGCACACTGTCCGTGGCAGTGAGATAGTAGAGTGTAGCTCCCCACACCGTGGTGTGAGGGTGGTGCCGCTCGTGGGCAGGCTGACCAAGAGGTCATTCTGCTGTTGAAGTGTTAGTACATTCTGGGTATGAAAGGCATTTGATATATTTTTCTTAATTATGGGGTTTATTTTTCTAAATATGGGTTAATCAGCTTCTTGACTGGGCATGTCCTTAAAAGGAAATTAAATCCCCTCTGTGGACCTTAAGAATCAGGGAATTTGATTTGTTAAAGTCTCTTTGGGAGAACAGAACTTCTCTTCCCTGACACTTTATTATCTTTGATTTTTTTCAAAGGGCCTTGATTGGCGGTTGTGCCTCAGCTAGACTTTATGGGACTTTGGTTGTTCTATAGTGGGCTTATATAAAAATCTGAAGTATCGTAAATAAAGTTATTTATTTAAATATACTGCCAGTCTTTTCTACTGGTTTGCTTACTTGTTTCAGTCACTAAAGCTGATGAATGATCCTAAGCTAGGACATGGCCTGGCTCGTTGCCCTAGGCCACAGCACAGCAGCTGAAGGCAGGTGGACTTTCGCCAGGAGGCAGTGCTCAGATGAACACATACAATTATGTTGCTTGTAGGTGCTGGGGACAGGAGTCTGACTAACCTCCCAGTGTGCTGCCCAGAGGGGGGCTGCCCTCCCCTTCCGGTTCCGCCCTGCATGGGACCCTGTGATTGCCAACTGGAACTTCAGTTTTAAGACATTCAACTTTTTTTCAAGTTTATTTCTCTTATTTTGGGCTATCCTTACATACCCAGTTTTCAGGCTTAGGAGTTGGCTGTTAAGAATTTCTGGTCAGAGCCTGAGGTAAGAGGATTTTTTGATTTGTGATTCCCAATGAAATGTTTCTTAGGAAAGATTTGTTTCCTTAGCCATTGTTTTTTATAGAATACTTTTGAAAACTAGTTTTAGTAACCATTCAGAACTTCCCACTTCGCTAAAAAAAATATGAAAAATGGAAACAACAGAAAATTCTAGGTTAAAGTCTTGGAATTCAAGTGTTCGTCTTGAGAGCATCTCACGGTTTAGCCCTGGCTGGCCTTGAACTCCTGCCTCAGCCTCCTAAGAACTTTGGACTGCTGCTCCCTGATACGTACCACCAAGCCTGGCTCCAGACAGCAGATTTCTCCAGTTTGTCTTTGGTACACCAGTGACTTAGTGAGGATGTGCAGCACATTGTTGCTGAGGTCAGGCGTGGTGATCACCAGCCTGGCCATGTGGTCTGTAATCATGCCGAAGGGTTCTCTGCCACCCACACTCCTCACCTGTTGTTTTTCCTTCTCCTTGCTACCAACATTTACTTTGATTGAGAATGTCTTTTTTTTTTTTTTTTTCTTTTTCCTGGTCCTCAGATTAGATGTGTGTATTCAGATCACCATGGGGACAGGTAAGGAAGACCTTCTCTTGAACCTGAGTGCTTCCATGTTGGCTGTGGGCATGTGAATGGAAAGCATACTCGCTGGTCTGACACAGTGACCTTGGGCCCTGTAGAGTTGAGGTACCTTGACCTTTACTCCATTACTGCCCTGTCTCATCGCCTGAGGGAGTGGCTTCTAAGAACAGGCCCAATCTAATAGTTTATCTTCCATCTTTGTCTAGATAAGATTTTTGGAAATTCATTGAGTACTTGACTTGTAATGTTAGGTTGTTGAGATAAATGACTGTGCCCAAGTCATCTGTAGCAAATGTGACAGAGCAAACGTACCTTCTCAAATGATTGAATGTGCGCTATTCTCCTTTTACAGTAGGAGTCATTATTTGGCCTTGTCTCCAAAAAGATGTAAAATTTCCCACTGTGGTCTCAAACTCGTCCATTCTTGTGTGTGCCCGAATGCCCCTTTCTCGGGGTGATCTGCAACAAGAAGCAAGGTCTGAGCATGATAATCTGGGGGAGACGCTGGGACAGCTGAGCCGTGTCTCAAGGGATCTTTTAAAAAATATATATATATATGACCTAAAATCATCGTACCAAAATATTTGTACCATCTCCTAGTAACTTTCAGAGATGGAGAGAATCAGTTCTAATCACATTTATCCGGATGGAAGATGATTCCTCATGAAAAATGCCAATACAGATTTCTTTTTAATCTCTTCTTTTCCAAATGCACTTTCTAATTTTTTGCTTTTAAAATAGCTTCTTGGAACCAATATTATTGTATTTGTACTTAATTTTTGTTCTCATCTAAATGTGCATTTTCTGACTGTATAGAAGAAACTTTGTTATATAATTTAATAAATTAAATATCTAAATAGCCGTGGCTGTAGTTATCTGTACTGGCAAGATAATCTTGAGCCTCTTGGGCTTGTGATCTCACTACTACACAGACTTCTCAGAATGCTGCAGGCCTTTGTATGAACAGATGGGTGATGTTTGGGCTCAAGAATGGAGAGGGCTGAAGAAATGGCTGCTCTTCCAGAGGACCTGGGTTCAATTCCCAGCACCTACATGCCAGCTCACAGCTGTGTCATGCTCTCTTCTGTCCTCTGGGTACTGGGCATATACATGATGCAGATAACATACACGTTTTTTTACATAAAGGAGAATATAAAATGTCAGGGGTTATGATGAAAGTCTAAAGTGTGTATTTTAGTCAGAAACCATGTCCTCTTCCTCCTTAAATGACTTTTTGAACTTGATTCTCCAGAAAATAAAAATTACCTCATTTCTCAGGCCCTGAGATGTTCTTAACCCATGTTTTGAAGATAAAACTGTCAGGGCCGCCTTTGGCGCAGCCATACAGCACTTGCTGAGCTTTGAGTCCCGCACCACAAAAGTCAATAAACTGATAGTATAATGATACAATCCACGTTGAAGTTTGGCCTTGTAAAATGCACTGATGCTAGCTCCATGTTCTCGTTGTGTAACTGCTAAGCCAGCCAGAGCATTGCCTCACTCCAGGGGAAGCCTGGCTTCACACAGCAGCCCCGAGCTCCACTCTGTCCTGTCTCAGCACTGCAGCCACGCCCCCTAACATGGCGTCTGAAGCGCCACCTGCCTCTCCTTGAGGATCCTGACCATTATGAGCCACTGTGTGCACACTCCCAAGTAAACACAAACACAACACCGCAACTTCCTGTGGGTAGCCTTCCATTTCACAGCCAGGAAGCTTTGCCCAATCATTGGGTGGTAAAAGGATTTGAGTGTTGAGGGCTTGTTTGCCAGATGGGAATAGAACCCAGGGTTTGTGCAAGTTAGACAAGTTCTACCACGGAGCCATGTCCACAGCTCCTGAGGGCTACTTAATGTCAAATCTTAACACTAGTTCCACAGAATCTTTTAACTCAAGCTTCCTGGTTAAGAAATAAGGAAAATAAAAAATCACTAATTTTGCTTAAAAGTAATCATTTAGAATTTGATAGCCTTGTTATTGCAAAGACTTAACCAGGTGCTTGACAAGAGGCCAAACTTGTTACATTTGCTTATGAGTCTGGCGGACTGCAATGAAGTCAAAGAAAATGCTTCTATCACTTGACTTAGAGTGCGGCCTCCCCCGGCCCCTCGCACCCTCCCTAGCAGCCAGGCCACCCTGGCCAAGGCAACAATGCCTTTACGAAGGTGAGCCCTCTGACAGACAGCTGCTGCTGCCGCTTGCTCGGCCCTTTCCTCACAAAAGGCCCTGAGCTCTGCCCAGTGCACTCTGCTCTTGCGGCAAGAGATGGCTAAAAGTAGCAAGTCTGTTGCTGGGATTTTCCTTAGCATGAAAGCCAGGAGAAAAACAAGCCTCCTCCTGTGGAGGATAGATTTATGTGGGGGAGTTGGGGCCGACAGGATTTTTCACCTTGGCTACAATTCCCCAGGTCAGCAGACCCGCTCAGTGAGCAACACTCTTTTTCTGTGCTAACTCTCAGAAGACACTAGACTCTAAAAAGACCAGGTGTTGAAAAGGTTTTGCTGAGACAAATGTCCATGATGACTGGAGGACTCTTCTTTCCATGATCCTTCCATAACTGTCATCCTGATGTCTGGGTGGTTGTCCGTTTGCCTCCTTGAAGAGATGTGGCTTTTAGCAGATGATCGCCTCAACCCATTGGTTTTGGATATTTTCAAACACCGAGCCTTTTGCAAAAAGAGCTAACATCCAGGGGAGCACACGGGTATGGTGGGTACCTGCTTTTTAACTCGGTGCCAAGAGGGTCAGGTTTAAAAGGTTGTCTCCAAAACTGAGAGACCTCCACGTGAGCTGGCACTGTACACTTCTCGCCCTCTCTGCTTCCTTCCCTGCCCTGCCCCACAAACTGGACCTGGGCCTCATTGCCTGGCTGTGGCAGCTGCAGGGGGCAGGCATCCTGCCTCTGTCTAATCTCTCTTGGCACCCTGCGTGTAACAGCTGAACTTTGCCTCCTGGCCACCCCTTGGCTTGTTATGGCTGTTGAGGAGTGTCCATGGCCCCCTAGGTCTGGCACAGTGTGTGAAGAGATAAAATTCCTTCCCTGGGCAAGACAACAGAGTCTACCCCTCCCTCCTGTGGTCTCAATGGCAAATGGAAAGATAATTCCACCAAAGCTGAGCCTGGGGAACCGGTGAGTCTATTAGGCTTGCTTACAGGGGAATGGTTTGGGGGTTATGGGTAGGAGTGTGGATGACCTTAAAACAGTCACGCTGGAAGGTCTAAAACCAGCATGGATGAAGCCCCTTACCCTAGTCTCCTTTCCTTAGGGCAAAATGGCATATAGCTGGTTAGGAGTGTGGGGGTGGTCTGGTGGGAGTCCCTCCACCCTCCCTTCTATGAGGGAACACCAACAGTTAACAAGCCCAGCAGAACCCCTGAGGACAGTGGCAGTTGGGCTCAGAAGATGGCCCTAGACAATTGGTTCTCAACCTGCTGGCCTCGACCCCTTTGGGGGTTGACCAACCCCTTTGTAGGGTCACCAAAGACCATTGGAAAACATATTACAATTTATAACAGCAAAATTACAGTTATGGGATGTCTGCATGTAGAAAAATGCAAATGGATCCATACTTATCACCCTGCACAAAACTGAAGTCCAAGTGGATCAAAGACCTCAATATAAAGCCAGACGCACTAAACCTGTTAGAAAAAAAAAGTGGGGAAGAGCCTGGAACTCATTGGCACAGGAGACAACTTCCTGAACAGAACACCAAGAGCACAGGCTCTGAGAGCAACAATCAATAAATGGGACCTCGAGAAACTGAAAATCTTCTGTAAAGCAAAGGACACTGTCATCAAAACAAAACAACTGCCTACAGACAGGGAAAGGATCTTCACCAACCCTATATCTGACAGAGGGCTAATATCCAGTATATATAAAGAACTCAAGAAGTTAAACAGCAACAAATCAAGTAACCCAATTAAAAAATGGGGTACAGAGCTAAACAGAGGTTTCTCAATTGGGGAATATCGAATGGCAGAAAAACACTTAAAGAAATGTTCACGTTCTTAGTCATCAGGGAAATGCAAATCAAAACGACCCTGAGATTTTACCTTACATTCATCAGAATGGCTAAAATGAAAAGCTCAAGTTACAACACATGCTGGAGAGGATGTGGAGAAAGGGGAACCCTCCTTCACTGCTGGCAGGAATGTAAACTTGGGCAGCCACTTTGGAAGTCAATCTGGCGCTTTCTCAGACAACTAGGAATAGCGCTTCCTCAAGATCCAAGTATACCACTCTTGGGCATATATCCAAAAGTATACAAGGACATCTGCTCAGCCATGTTTGTAGCAGCTTTATTTGTAATAGCCAGAAGCTGGAAACAGCCCAGATGCCTCTCAGTTGAGGAATGGATACAGAAATTGTGGTACATCTACACAATGGAATATTACTCAGCAATAAAATACAAGGAAATCATGAAATTTGCAGGTAAATGGTGGGAACTGGAAAAGATCATCCTGAGTGAGGTATCCCAGAAGCAGAAAGACACACAGGGTATATACTCACTCATAAGTGGATATTAGACATTAATATAAGATAAACATACTAAACTCTGTACACCTAAGGAAGCTAATCAAGGAGGACGACTCAGGCTAAGATGCTCAATTCCCATTCAGAAAGGCAAAGAGGATGGACATTGGAGGATGGAGAAAACAGGGAACAGGACAGGAGCCGACCACAGAGGGCCTCAGAAAGGCTCTACCCTGCAGGGTAGTGAGGCAGATGCTGAGAATCATAGCCAAACTTTAGGCAGAGTACAGGGAATCTTATGTAAGAAATAGGAGATAGTAAGACCTGGAGAGGACAGGAGCTCCACAAGGAGAGCAACAGATCCAAAAAGTCTGGGCCCAGGGGTCTTTTCTGAGACTGATACTCCAGCCAAGGATCACACCTGGAGATGGCCTGGAATCCCTGCACAGAGGTAGCCCATGGCAGTTCAGCGTCCAAGTCGGTTCCCTAGTAATGGGAACAGGAAGTGTCTCTGACATGAACTCAGTGGCCTGCTCTTTGGTCACATCCCCCTCAGGGGGTTAAAGCCTTACCAGGCCACAGAGGAAGACAATGCAGTCACTCCCTGATGGAGCCTGATAGACTAGGATCAGAGGGAAGGGGAGGAGGACCTCCCCTATCAGTGGACTGGGGGAGGGGCACAGGAGGGGAAGAGGGAGGGAGGGAAAGAATGGGAGGGGTGGAGGGAGAGAGCTACAGGGGAATACAAAGTGAATAAACTGTAATTAATAAAAATAAGTTAAAATTTACAGTTATGAAATAGTGTTGTGCCCAAATCGTGATACCCCAAAAGACCACCACCAGGAGCCGAGTCCGTTGCAAACCACATGAAGATCTTTTTATTACAAATTATAAGTTACAAGCTGAAGCTCAGGCTCACACCCCCCCAACGCCGAAGCGGCGAGAGCCGAGAGCCCTGTGCTCAGGTTAGTTGGGTGATTTAAAGAGTCTGGTCCCTCCCAGCATGCCCAAGGCAGGGGCGATTCCTACCTGGCAAGCATCTATTGGTCAAAATGCTACATTTTGAATTGATTGGCTATAGGAAGGTCCCCAGACCATCAATGATCTGGTGTCCCTTCTTAGGGGAATGGGCCAGTTTCCTAGCAAATGTATCTCTAGTGAGTGGGGAAAGAATGCAGTACAGCAGGTTCTTCCCCTTAGGGCATTACTGGACCTCATCCAGCTAGTTCAGGCCTTAAACTTTAATAATAATGGCTGATTTTTAATCTTTTGGTCCCTCATTTCCCCCTTTTCCATGATCATTTGAAGACCCAATCTTGGGTCTTCCAGATATGACCCCCTTGTATTCTGTAGATTTATCTTTTTATAATGGGATCTGTGTACCATT